GAAGTAGTTTGAGCCTCCTCATTACATGTTTCCTCCATTTGCATCATTTCCTCAATCTTTCTGGCATTCTGTATGAAAATGGTGCCATGCCATCATCCTGGCTGTTACAACTTTGTAAAGATTTATTAAAGACACACTGATTTATTTAGCACTTACTATATGCCAGGTATTGTTCTGAGCACTTTATAATATCAGATTTCTGAACATTGAAAATTGTTGTAAAGCATTCATCCCATCTGGTAGAATGTGGGGTGTAAGACCTGAGGGAAGTGGACGTTTAGGGGTTTTTATTAAAGAAAAAAATACTTTACTTCCATGAACAGCATGCTTGAGCTCCCCCTCTCACATCAGGTATTCACTAGGCCACCTGTGAAAGAGTAAGAACTAAAACTCATGGCCAGAACAGTATGCTTCAGCTCAGGTGTGTGTGTGTGTGGAGGGCTCAGGGGGTGTCATTTCTCTCTCCATGGACTTTTCAGAAGGAACCCTTTCCAATGAACCCCTAGTGGGGATAGAGTGTTGCTCTGCTTGAGCCTGTTGATTTGATTCTCCTCCATCAGAGGTATAGGGCTTCAGGAACTCCCTGTTGGTGTACTTACCCTCCTCTGTCCCTGCCATTGATGGAGGAGGATCATGGAGAATTAAATAACTCTGAGATTAGAATGAGTCAGCTGCCATGTTGCTGGGTTAAACCTACAAACAACAAAACAAGGGCCCTAATATTGGACAGCACAGCCTGTTGAAAACTCTGCCACCCACAAGAATGTTGTCCTGACCTCCCTCCCTGCTCAGGCCTCTGCTGAGTCCAAGGCACAATGCAAGTGCTGTCTGGACCAGGCTGAAGTATAAGCTTATTAACGTCAGACCTGGGTCTGGAGGGAGATTCCCCCTTTCAAGTTTTCTCCCCTAAGCCTGACCAGTATTGCTGTCACTCCCCATCACTCAACCCTAGACTCTGCCTCTGATTTTGCCCCCTGTACTTTAATATGTCCATGCTCAGGGGACTGTGGCCTTTCCTATGGTCTCCAGCTTTCCTGCTTCTGCTCTTCATGTCTCATTAGCTCCAGAGGGAACCCAGCCCTGGCTCTGGATCCCGACCTCTACCTGACCACTTGGCGTGCTTGTGGCTGCTTTGAGCTGGGGTAGGACTTCAGATAGTCAACAAGATACCCTGGGTAACGCAGACATATAAGGGTCATGCAGAATGTGATCAATTTGATAAAGAGGGTGAAGGAACCATGGTGGGAGGGGAGCAGAGGGAGAAGGGCCCCAAATATGCCCATCCCAGCTAGTTTGCAGTAACTCTTCTCGGTGATTTCTGGGAGTTCTGACTTTTGGCACACAGGTTGGTCTAGAAAATCTAAAAATAGGTTTTCCCATCAAAATTGACTAGCTTTGTGTTTATACTGTGGCTTGAGTGAACTAGTTTCAGTTTACCTGTTTCATTGTCTAGTACGATGCCCAGCACATGTCAGACACTTGATAAACATTTGTTGGAAAAAATGAACAAGCCTCCTGGCCGCCGTAGTCCCCTTCTGCACTCACAATGCAGAAGGCCGGTGACGGCAGTCTCCAGCCTCGCGGCCATGCAGGGGACCTCTCCTGAAATGCAGCTGGAGGAGTTCCCAGTAGTCAATATTTTATTTGTCTGCCCAAGCCTCCCAAGAGAAAAGTCCCACCTTGCTAACATTCTTTCAGATTGTAGCTGAACCATTTGTTTCAACAACAATTCAATTAAATTCTGACGCTAACTACTTGGAGTTAGCACAGACCCCACAAAGACTCAGTCCCACAATAATGTCCCCTACTTCAGATGCCAGAGGCAAGTTACTCTCACTTCTGTCCAGCAGACTATAAATTTGGGGGTTCCCAAGCCCCCCACCCAGGTTTGATAAGTCACTAGAACTGACTCACATAACTCAGGAAAGCACTAGACTTACGATTACAGTTTTCCTATAAAGGATACAGCTCAGGGCCAGCCAAACTAAAGAGATGCTCAGGACAAGGCATGGGGTGCCTCTCCCAGCACCTCCATGTATGCAATGGCCTAAAGCTCACCAAGCTCTGTGCCCAAGAGTTTTTACTGAGGCTCCATCACTTAGGTGTGATTGACTCAAGCTCCAGCCCTCCTCCCTTTCCCAGAAGTTGGAGAAATAGGGCTGAGGGTCCCAACCCTTGGTCACAGCGTTGGTTCCTCAGGCCAGCTACCTAGGGGCCCCTTCCTATCAGAAATGCAGGTGTGGTCTAAGGGAGCTGTTTATGAATAACAAAAGATATACTGATCACTCGATCAACCCCATGGTTTTAGGAGTTGTGTGCCACAAAGTGGACAAACCAAATTTGTACTTCTTTCTATATCACAATAGTGGAAACATTTTGGCAAATCCAAGAGTGGTTGGTCCGTCTAATCTCAGTTCACATTGGAAGGACTTTCCTGGCCTCCCAGACTTCACTAGCAAAAGCCTGTTCTTTAGGGGGATGGGATGTGCCCTCCCACTCCAGTGTATTACTGTCGGAGGACATTTTGAACCCCACATATTCCTTGGCTATAAAGAGTGAAAGAAGGACCTCTGGAGTGTGGGTGCTATTGGGTGGTGTGTTTTCAAAGTCTGACAGGAGCAAAGTGGGCAGAGCCACAGCGCCTTGGTTAGACCCTGCCTCTGCTCCTAATTTTCTTTGTCACCTTGGGCAAGTCATTTATTTAATGAGAACGCTTCTAAACATGGGAGAAGTCTAAGGACTCTTTTTTTATCTCTCCATTTCAAGGTCCAGTGTTGTAAACTGAAATAATTAGTGCATCACAGCTTACCGCTCTCCTCAAGATGGGTATTTGGGATTGTGTTACAAGTGACTTTGTTGTCACCATGATCCTGGCAAAACCTATTCTATGCCACTGTCCCTCAGTGGGACTGATAAGAGGGTAGCTAAGGAAGAGTTTTACGGTACCTGTAATCTCCCACCTGAGGGTCCCTGAAGCTTTCTTCCTGGCGAGATGTGCCACCCCCACCCAGGTAGAGATGAGCAGGCCCTAGCCTGTCTTATCTGCCTGACATATGGGCAGAGATGAGTGCCACCCTTCTGTCTATGGTTTGATAAAAATTTCCAGAGAAAAATATCAGGTAACATGCCAAACTGAATGTAAAAGAGTCCTTTTCTGGAATGCTTCAAATGTAAAATTCATTGCTTCCAGAAAATTGTTTGTTTGTTTGTTTTTAAAAACCCCTGTGAGAAGCCTGTCTGCTAGAAACAATAAAGAGGGTAGATTTGGTTACATAGTTTTCCCCAGTAGGGCTTTAGTAAGAAAGATTATGGAAGTACATAGTCCAACTGATGCTCAGGAGCCTCTTCCCTGTTTGGAAACCCGGGGCCACTGCCTTTCTATGGCCAACTCTTGTGGGGCCCTTTTCTACCTGGCATCTGAAAATCCCATCTCTAGCATGATTTGGGGTCCGGAAGAATTTACATGCCAAGGTAGAATTTTTGCAATAACTTTATAAGCCAGTAAAGCCATTTCTGAGGCCTGAGAAGGCATGAGGAACCGGAAGGTGGGGGTTGAGGGGTGGGAGTGGGGCTGTCTGTCTCTCTGCTCCCCACCAGTGTTGCTTCTCTGTCCACATTTTTTTTCTTTTCTTCTAGCCCTCCACCCGGGCCTGCATTACATTCTCTCCACGTGCAGATGTAGGGGAGTGTCCGGATTCCTCTCTTCACTGCCCACTGGTTTCCCCTAGAACATGGAGCGGAGCAGGCCTTGTGGCCCTCATGTTCTGTGGAGGCTCCATGCGTGTTCTAGCTCATGTGCCACAGTCCCAGCCCATGTGCCACAGTCCCAACCCATGTGCCACGATCCCAGCCTGTGTGCCAGGGTCCCTGCAGGGCCCTCCCTCTCCCAGCTCGGTCTTAGTAACCTTGTCTTCATTCAGACACCACATCCTGCATTTGTAAGCCTTTCTCCCAGGCACTGTTGAGTGCTGAGTCGTCTTGTAATAGTATCTGGGGGTGAGGGCATCCCCCTACCCAGGGGGTTGCCTTATCACAAATCCTCACCCTTGTTCTCATTTCATGGCCACACTTCAGTTGACAGCCAGACATCTACCCAAGTTCCATTGATCGAAATGCATCACTTCCCACCCCTGTACCCCTAAAGTGCTTTGCTATGCCTTTATTATCTACATACTGCAGATGTTACAGTGCTGTGGAATAGAGTGACTCTGAATGTTCTTCTTTGCCCTCAACTGTAGATTCCAGAGGCAGGCTAGTGTTTGCTCTAGCACCTATAAGAGGACTGGCATAGAGTAGCTGCTCAATAAATATTTATTGAATAAAAGAAAACTTTATGGAGAATAAAAACCATGTATTTCTTATCTTTGGATTCATCAGATCATCTTCACATTAAAAATAGATCAATGAATGTCTTTCTAGAATATTCACTCAAATAGAGTTCATGTCCTAAGACCTTTGCAAGACCAGCCGTTTAAATGTGGAAGGCTAGTTATGCCACATTGATCATAGCCATTGTAGCTATAGCCAGGTTCATTTCCCAACCTTCAGGTCAGCTCACATATTTTCTCTGATTTGTTAAAGATGGTGTAAGAAAAGTCCTACAGACGCATATGTGTGTGTGCTCATGCATACACATACATAGAATTTTTTTAAAAATCATTATGGGAAAAAAATTGAAATCAACTATAACTCTGAAAGCTGGAATATATATGGCCATATTCATAAAGGTTTTTCCTACTGTTCTGGAATGCTTTCTTCTGTGGGAGCGAGGATGGTATTTCATATGTGTACTTCTTATCTCCGTGGATGCCACGGACCAGGTTTTAAACTTTAAAATGTGTCACCCTCACCAGGTTTTCAATACTTGCTGAGCAACTGAGTTGTTATTCTACAGGAAAATAAAGACGCTGTTTCCATGTGAGCTCTTTGTTTGGTCTGTTGGGTTAATTATATATTACAAATAGGCATTAATTTCTGTCTTGGTTTGACCTCTTTTCCAGGGAGGTTCCCTTGAAGGATGCTAAGGAATATGCTGAGTCCATAGGTGCCATTGTGGTTGAAACAAGTGCAAAAAATGCTATTAATATTGAAGAGCTCTTTCAAGGAATCAGTAAGTATCTGAAATTGTGTTTTCAGCTTAGCTTCCATTTTTGTGCTTCTGAGAGTCAAAGTATAACATCCTTGAGCTCTGATGTAGAGCTTTTCTTCTGTGTGAATTTGTGTGATGCTGCGGATGTAACATCTACAACCACTCACTTGTTAATCCTTACCTATATTGTGCCTCCCGCTTCTCCAAAATTCTGTGCTTTAACCTGCTAATTCTATGTTTTGAGAATTGAAATTAATTAACCCTTTTGAAAAATGAATCATTTTAATTAAAAATTATTTAATTTAAAAAGTATTCAATAGCATTTTATGTTAGTATGTTATGGGGAGGAGAGGGAAAATAGCAATAAAGTATAGAAAGCTGAAGTCACACATTAAACTGAATGGCTTTAGGCAAACAAAAGAAGGGGAATTCTTGGTCATTTCTTTTGCCTGGTGATCATCAACAAAAAATAGTGTCTCCATCCCACATGACCTGAAGGTAGGAATTGGGTGGTGAGTCAATTTGTGAAGGTTTTGCTCAATTCTTATCAACTAATCAATGGAATGTGAGGGCCCCCTCTTTGTCCCCAGAGCTGGGTTGTTTTCTGTTTCCCTTTCTTCATGCGGTTCCCCAGGAATACCCTTTATCTGAGATCTTTCTCCCAGCTGATGGCCAGATTTCACCTTCATAACTTCTCTGCTAATGACACTCTGTTCTGTCCTGCCTGCTGACAGCTGCCTTAGGAAACTGCGTGCCAAGGTGCCCTCATAGCATGACCAGGCACTTTTTGCAAGAAGTATGTTTTGTGAGGTGTGGGACTGAGTCCTGGAAGACCCACCTTAGGAAGAGTTGAACCCCTGAATAGCTGGCAGCTGTTCTCAAATACCTTATCTTGTCTCTGGACAGTTCTAGAAGGGAGTCCCAGAGGGGAAATGGGTGGTTTGATCTCTCTTCTGCCTGGGGCTCTCAAAGTCAGGGCCGTGGCTTCCCAGAACAGATCTGACTTCCTTTTAACTGGTTTTGGTTCATTACTTTAGACTCTCAGAACCCACAGCAGGGAGTATTTTGTTTGCTTCTCTTGGCTTGACGGAGAATTCACTGGAGATGGGGGCTCTGACCTGGTTTACTGACACAGCACAGAAATGCACAAGAAAGCGGCCAAGCCCTGAGCAGCCACCCTGTTTGTTTACTGGGGTCCAAGTCACCTTCCCTTCCTCCTTCAGCAGGACTCATTTTCCTGCTATTATCTCACACCCTCATCAGAATAGAGTTCTCCAAGCTCCTCAACCTGAGTGGTGGAACCCTAGAGTGCTAGAGCTGCAATTTATGCTGAAAGCCTGCACCCTCAACCCCGTCCTTCTCCTCCTCAAAGTGGGCAATGGGGATAGTGCTCCACTGTGAGGAAGCTGCCCTGCTGCCCTATGTAGCTGTGTAACTGGGGACAGTGAAGAGAACCAGACTTGGACTCATTCCATTACCCTCGTATTTGCTCAGATCAAACTCATTTCTCTCTGGTGGAGTTCAGCTTTTCTGGAACATTAGGCTAGTTGTGCAGCTATTAGACATTTCATTTTTATTAAGGGCTTTAATTAATGAAGTGCTCTTAATTCATGAAGCTAGGCAGCTCCTGGTGACTCTGACAGCCACACCTTTGCTTGCGCAGCTCCTTTTTGCTTCTGGAGCCCAACTCCCCGCGTAGCCCTGGGAAGGCAGATGAGCAGATAGTTATGCTCCATGTCTTGCCAGTGGGTTTCAGCCCCAGGCAAATTCACTAGGGATTCAGTGCGACCAAAGAAATGACAGTAGAATGTTCTTGGGGCAAAAGGGTTGATTACCCAGCTTGTTCTCCTGGCCGTAGGTGGAGCACTAGCATCTCTGCCTCCACCTAGAGCACTGGGCCGAGCTCTCTTTATAGTGCTTATTCCTACGGGTGTGGAAGCAGTAGCCTAGCAACAGGCCAGTTACATCATCATGTGGTTTGGGTTCAGGGAGGACCCTGGCCATAGGAACCCCAACTTCTCCACACTCCACCCCTCCAGGATTCTCGCCTTACAATCTACATGCTTTCAATCTTCCGCAGTGGTCCCTCTGCAAGAAAGCTGGAGCACTGTACCCAGATTCCACAATAGCAACAGAGGATAACAGCAACTTAGAGATAATAACAAAAATTAACATACAACAAGATTTTGATACAGGTAACAAAAATTATAATAATCCTCAAGCCAGAGGAGGTTCCTCCTCCACAAAGACCTTAGGGGCGATAAGACATATGTTTTAATGACACCAACATAGACAAATCTTGTCCATCAAGTAGGATGCATGGAAGAGAGTGGTTCTGTGCTAGGACTATACCAGGAAGCAGGTCCCATCCAGGTCTAGTATACCATACATTTACTTCTCTCCCCATGGGGGTTACTGAAGGGTCTATATATAGTGCTTCTGGAGGTGCATGCATTGGCCATAATGATAAAACAAAACTCCCCAGTAAGATGCTCCTACCTTCTGGCCATTCAGGATATACCACTGTGATCTTTGGGGGCCACTCTGCTGTTATTCCAGGAATACACAGGAGGCCAGCTTCCAGGATTTGTCCCCAAGGTGCCAGGAAAGCCAGCTATCATTTGTCCATGTGTTGAAAGGTCTAAGGCCACATCCACTCAAAGGAGTCTCCTGGGTTTAGTGCAGTTGGTGCTGGCAGCAAGATATTATTCTGGTGGCCGAACCTTGGCTTCAATGATTCTTTCATGGTTTGTATTTGCAGCTGTATAGGGGAGGCAGCAACATGTGTTAACATGTCTACAGGGCTAAGGGTTCCCTTTCGGGGTTTCTTGTTCAAATGCCATAGCAAGGTCCATAAGCAGACTGACCATCCCTGCAGACAATTGGTATCTGACTTTAGTCTGGATTTTAATAAGCCATTGTGCCTCTCTATCATGCCTGCTGCAGTAGGATTGTATATGACACTTCCATTTGATTCCCAACTGTTGTACCCATTCTTGCATGCATGTCCAGAAAAATGGGTGCCCTGATCACTCTGTTACCTGTGGTCAGCCACAGGAGGCAAAGAGACACTCCAGGCCTCTTTTGGTCATCTGCTGGTCTGCACAAGGTGTAGGAAAAGCAACCAGAAGTCCAGTAGCTCTGTCCACACAAGTTATGGCATACCCATATCCTTCTGACATAGGTAGAAGCCCAGTATAGTCTATCTGCCACTTGATGAGGGGTATCAGCCCCTTAGCTATTGTCCCATGTTGCTGTGGAACTTGGTGTAAGTCCCTTTTAGAGGATACAACACACTCCTGCTGGGCTCTACTAACTTCTCCAAAGGTCAAAGGCAAGCCCTACTGATGGGCTACAGCCCACATTGTCTTTTGCCCCTCATGCAAAAAAACCCTGATGTAACCATTGGGCTATATCAGAGGCAGGCTTTCCTTCTAACCAACATATCTGGGCCAATTTATCTGCCTCCTCATTTCCTGGGGATGCCAGTGGCAAATGACTGTCACATGATATACTGTAATTGTTTTAGTCTGATGCAGGCCCATAAGTCTGGCCACAATTCTTGCCCCCAAAGGGGTCAGTGACCAACCAGCACTTGGCATGGTACCAGGTTGGTAGCCACAGGGTCAAGCCCTGATAGCCCAGCTGTCAGTGCAGACAACTACTGGGGAGAGCTCCTGGCTGATCACAAACCACACGGCCTGCAACTCTGCCATTGACTACTCTTCCCCTTACCATCTTCCATCCATATTATCTCAGTCTTAGGACTGAGTCTTAGGAAAGCTATGGCCCTCCATTGTGGGGGCTGCCCATGGTTGGAGCAATCTGTGTACCATGCATCTTCAGGTATAGGAGCTCTTCCCTCCCAATAGGGACTCTCTGGTACTAATGGTTCTAAAGTAAATTCTTTCTGCTTCTCACTAGTATATGTCACCAGCCCCAATAAGTATTGCAGTTCTTTACTCAAGGAGCTACTATAGAGAGCACTACACTGCTGTAGGTAAGCACCCTACTTGGCCAGTGTGGGCATTTGTGCCCCAATACTCCTTGGCTTTGAGGTACAGTCTGGTACCTACCCCAAGATAGGATAGGTAGTCATTACCTTTATCAGGGCCATTTCAGTGATGGGTTCTGTAGCCAGCAAAGCGTGATACATGGCAGCCAGTTCTTTTTTTATCAAAGTGTATTTTACCTCTGCCCCTTTCCAGAGTTGAGACCAGAAACCAATAGATTGGTGAGTTTGATCAAGCCACTGCCAGAGACCCTAGCCATAACCATCTTCAGTCACATGAACATCCAGCTCACTGGGCCTTGATGGATCTATCACACTCAAGGCCTGCACGGCCTTGACTGCTGGTTTTGCTGTAGTAAAGGCAAATGCACATGTCTCATCCCAATCCCACCTGATGCTCTTTCATACCAACTGGTATAAGGGCTTCAGAATTTGTGCCAAGTGCAGGATAAATACTTTCCAGTAGACTAGAAGACCCAGAAACTCCTGTAACAATGCTATAGTTGTAGGGCTAGGAAAGGCCTGGACTTTATCTATGACTGCTTCTAGTATAACTTCAGTCTTACCTGACCAGACAACCCCCCAAAATTTGACTGACAAACCAGGTCCTTGAACCTTGGTACTATTCACAGCCCATCCTTTCTCCTGTAGATGTTATGGCAGTCTAGGTACTGCACCTTCTAGATCTGTAAGAGAATCAGATGTGAGCATGACATCATCAATGTAATGGTACAGCTGCACCATTGACCATTTCTCCCATGTTGCCAAGTCCTGGGCTACAAGTCCATGACATATGGTGGAGTTGTGGAGGTATCCCTGTGGAAGGAAGGTGAAGGTCCATTACCATCCTTCCCACATGAAGGCAAACTGTTCCTGTCTTTCTTGCTCAATGTCAATGGAAAACAAGGCCTTAGCAAGATCTACCATATAATGGTATGTTCCTAGGTCATGGCTGAGGGTATCCATCAAGACTGCAATAGAAGGAACAGCAGCATGCACAGGGGGTATG